TTTAGTGATTAAGGACAAATTGTTTGTCATCTGAAGACACATTGCAAAGAGCATCCAGTAGATTTACAAATGTATTTACAATTTTTGTTTGTTTTATCATCTATTTCAACTATTTTTCTTCTTGTAATCTAGACAATAATTTTTACCTATATATAGTTTAATATGGTTTAGTTTTGATGCCTGCTATAATTTAATTGTTGGCCCTTTTGATGTAATCCGGTATTTTACAACTTATTTCTATTTTTTTAGTATGTTTTGGTAATATATTGTAGACCAAGATTGTAGCTTCAAAAGGGAAGACACAAAGATATCTTTTTACTATGTAATTGTTGTTGCCACTCAACTGTCCTGTGTAAAAAAGGGAGGACTAAATTTGTCACTAAATTTTGTTGGGAGTAATTATTGCGTAAGTTCATCAATCTTTCGTCTGATCTTTATTTTTCAAACTAAATGTAAAGCATCATCTGATATCCGTAGTTTAACTAAGCAAGCTTACTGGTCAAACTGTATTAATAGCTGTCAATTTTAAAGCCGTTTCCTTATTTAAATGTGAAGGTGAAAAATACTGGAAATGTGAAACTAATAATTATCTAGTTGTCCCCCTTCTTAAACCTCAAGTAAAGAAAATGTAACATTAAAGGGATAAAATACTGGAAATTCGGAAACTATACTTATTTAGTTGTGCCTCTTCTTAAACCCATAGTATATACATATTAACTATTATAATTCAAACAGTATTATTAATGGTTAAATAATTTTTATAGTCATTTATATAGATTGCACTAAATTCAAACCTCCGACAATTATTTTTCGGTCTATATTCATTAAGGCTGACTTATTATAAAATATTTTGTTTTTATAAAATTCATTATTTAAAAATTTCATTTTTATTGAAGTCAATATGGTGATTGATGCACCAGGTGTCCACCGAACTGGTCTTAGGTACACTTTATACAATAAATTAGTTTTTTTTTTTAAATAACACCTGAATGTTTCAATGATTTCCCAAAAGAAAAGCATTTTCTTCAATAATGAGCATACAGTGTGAGAACCATCAGTCTGATTCTCTAATGTTGAAATGAACATCTGAAACTGCAACCAGCTGTTGTGGTGTTGATATCAATTTTTACAGCTAACTTTTGTCATGCTTTCTTCAGGAAATAATTATTACACATGTCTGACACGAGCACTAACATGGCATCTATTGTTGAAACCTATTAGTTGTCACATTTGTGCTCTCACCACAAATTACTCTGAGGCTCAGCCTAAGTTTAACAAAATCTTGTTCAAGCCTGGAGTAATATGTAATTGAGTAATATATACTGGAGTAATATGTAATTGAGTAATATATACTGGAGTAATATGTAATCTGTGAATTTTCTTGTAAATAATTATCACAGCTCAAACTTTCAGAATGTCTTGAAGATTAATGTTGAAGGAAATAAAGCAACATAATTTCTCAAACTCTTATTTTATTTATATATTTTAAAATTATTGTGTAATGATTCTATATATGTTCAATTTGTTCTTGACTCTAAATGACATCACCAATCTCATGTACAATATGGGTCAAAACAGTTCTAAAACTTGCACGTCTTAACGCCCACTGTGGGTTTGTTAACGGCAAATAGCTCCAGCACATACTTTATTTCTTAGATTTTATTGAAACGTTTCACAAATCTCATGGTTTAAAAAATCTCATAGATTCACAAATCTCATGGTTTCAGAAATCTCATGGTTTCAGAAATCTCATGGTTTCACAAATCTCATGATTTCAAAAATCTCAGGGTTTCACAAATCTCATGGTCTCACAAATCTCATGGTTTCACAAATCTCATGGTTTCACAAATCTCATGGTTTCACAAATCTCCTATTTTCACAAATCTCATGGTTTCACAAATCTCATGGTTTCACACATCTCATGGTTTCACAAATCTAATGGTTTCACAAATCTCATGGTTTCACAAATCTCATGGTTTCACAAATCTAATGGTTTCACAAATCTCATGATTTCAAAAATCTCATGGTTTCACAAATCTCATGGTTTCACAAATCTCATGGTTACAGACATCTCAGGATTTCACAAATGTCATGATTTCACAAAGCTCATAGTGACCATTTTCAAAAGCTGTGTATGGTATCTCCAAAAAGAAAATGAGTAAAACAAAGTATGGAAATCCTAAAAGAAAGGAATGCAACGTGTCGTATCTCATGTGTGGGCCCCCTAACACGAACATGGACTTCTCAATGAACTAGGACCAAGCCTACTACCTCCGTGAATGTGGACTCTGTCTTGCCAGTCGTCCTAAGGCAGTGCAGCAAAAAGTGATATCCTGGCACTGCATTACTCACCTGTCGGTTCTATGTTCAAAACTAAACTGCCAATAGCTGAAGTAATCTTAACTGTCATTAAAGTTATACATTTCATAAGAAGCTATTCATCATTTCAGCAGCACCTGAATAAGCTAAATATTTGGCTGAGAGGTAAAAACCAGACCGTGATGGAGGTTCAACTCCAATGTAAGAACAAGACTGTCATGGACCTTCAACTCCAATGTAAGAACAAGACTGTCATGGACCTTCAACTCCAATGTAAGGACAAGACTGTCATGGACCTTCAACTCCAATGTAAGGACAAGACTGTCATGGAGCTTCAGCCACAAAATAAGAACAAGACTGTCATGGAGCTTCCGCCACAAAATAAGAACAAGACTGTCATGGAGCTTCAGCCACAAAATAAGAACAAGACTGTCATGGAGCTTCAGCCACAAAATAAGAACAAGACTGTCATGGAGCTTCAGCCACAAAATAAGAACAAGACTGTCATGGAGCTTCAGCCACAAAATAAGAACAAGACTGTCATGGAGCTTCAGCCACAAAATAAGAACAAGACTGTCATGGAGCTTCAGCCACAAAATAAGAACAAGACTGTCATGGAGCTTCCGCCAGAAAATAAGAACAAGACTGTCATGGAGCTTCAGCCACAAAATAATAACAAAACTGTCATGGAGCTTCAGCCACAAAATAAGAACAAGACTGTCATGGAGCTTCAGCCACAAAATAAGAACAAGACTGTCATGGAACTTCAGCCACAAAATAAGAACAAGACTGTCATGGAGCTTCAGCCACAAAATAAGAACAAGACTGTCATGGAGCTTCAGCCACAAAATAAGAACAAGACTGTCATGGAGCTTCAGCCACAAAATAAGAACAAGACTGTCATGGAGCTTCAGCCACAAAATAAGAACAAGACTGTCATGGAGCTTCAGCCACAAAATAAGAACAAGACTGTCATGGAGCTTCAGTCACAAAATAAGAACAAGACTGTCATGGACCTTCAGCCACGAAATAAGAACAAGACTGTCATGGAGCTTCAGCCACAAAATAAGCACAAGACTGTCATTGAGCTTCAACCACAAAATAAGAACAAGACTGTCATGAAGCTTCTGCTACAAGGTAAGAACAAGACTGTCATGGAGCTTCAGCCACAAAATAAGAACAAGACTGTCATGGACCTTCAGCCACAAAATAAGAACAAGACTGTCATTGAACTTCAGCTACAAAATAAGAACAAGACCGTCAGGGAGCTTCAGCCACAAAATAAGAACAAGACTGTCATGGAGCTTCAGCTACAAAATAAGAACAAGACAGTCATGAAGCTTCAGCTACAAGGTAAGAACAAGACTGTCATTGAGCTTCAGCCACAAAATAAGAACAAGACTGTCATGGAGCTTCAACATTATGGGCACTCCTTTCAGTAGAAGCTTGCATTTTCTCATTGATTATTTAATCGAGTCAGCTATAAAATTGTATACAGTCCGAAATTATGTGGAAAAAAAAGAAACTTGACACATATTACACACACAAAAATTCCAAGATGGGTTTCCAAGCTGACTTAAAGATATTATAGTACTGTCATGAATATTTGTTCTTGTTTCTGATCCATGTTTGTCCCAACTAATGGGTTCTATCGCAACTACCTTCAGCTTGGAAAGGTTGACACCCAGAAAATTGACTATCTGAAACTAGATTTTCGTGACCAGAATTTAGCAGTCTTTTTTAGCAGTCTTCTGTAGCAGTTTTCTCTAGCAGACTTCTGTAGCTGTCCTTATGTAGCAGTCTTCTGCAGCGGTCTTTCTGTAGCAGTCCTTCTGTAGCAGTCCTTCTGTTGCGAGTTTTGCAGAATGACAATCTCCAGCTATCAGGATACTAGGTTATTCTGACTTTGTGGCTCACAGTGTGAATACTCAACGCGAGTTACTTTTACTCAACAGACTACCGGGACATTTTCATTTCAAAGTCAGTTTCATTTCCTTAACTGATAGTTTTCCCGGACGTCACGAACTGCATTGCGTGCATAAGGGTTGGGTGCTGAGTGCTGAGGGAAACAAGCAGTATCATAACTACGGATTCACTGAAGAAGTGTATCAAGTGTATCATGTAGATCAATTCTAAGAAAAGGGTTTTGACAGGTTCTAAGAAGTTCTGCAATCTGCTAAAATACTTGCCATGAATTACTCCCAATGTTTACATAATCAAGTTTTGCTGTGTCAGATCAAGAAACGCGTAACGCCATTCAAGTCAATAAATAAATGGAGGGTCATGATGTTCAATGCACACCGGCTTGAAGAATCTCCCCCCCCCCCAACTCAATGAACAGATCCAGAAGCAACATGTTTACATAATCAAGTTTTGCTGTGTCAGATCAAAAAACGCGTAACGCCATTCAAGTCAAAAAATAAATGGGGGGTCATGATGTTCAATGCCCACCGGCTTGAAGAATCTCCCCCCCCCCCCAACTCAATGAACAGATCCAGAAGCAACACCCCCCCCCTCTTCCTTACAAACCGTGTCTCAACCCAAATCTACTTCCTGTGCTTTCAAATCGCAATCAATCAAACGTCCATGCTTGTCAAACCATGAAGCTATGTGCACACCAATCTTTTGTTAAAAGGGGCATAACTCGAATTTGGAGGTGCACAGGGGCAATGAGTCGTCTGTGATCGGCCACACACACACACACACACAATATTTAAAAGGCACGGTGACACTAGAAATATTTGCTCCCATTGGGCGCGTTTGCTTTAGGTGCTAGGAAGGGTCTTCTGCAATTGGAGGGGGTCTTCTGCATTTGGAGGGGGTCTTCTGCACTTGGAGGGGGTCTTCTGCACGTGGCGGAGTGTTCCTCAAACGCGCTCAAGTAGCAGATTTGGACAAGAAAGTTTCAAACATAGTGTTAACACAAAGATTTGTGCGTGCATTTTCTTACAGCTAGTAGTGTTACGGTGCACGTTTTTTTAACTGTGGCTGAAGGCGTTTAGAGGACTCCGCTTAGTACCATAGGACTCTTAGTTTATTGCCCTGACGCCGCTGTTACAATTTGAATAACACTTTTCAGACGCACTGACAGTGCGAGCTTCGTTCTCTTTGAAGTAGTCTTACGGTGAAATAATTGACTTGTTATGCAGGGAGGTATCCAACATATCCATTCAGTAATTTAGATTATGGAGTGTATCTAAAAAAAACTGAACATTTCTTTTGTGTCGAAATTCAACCACAGCTCTGTTCAGTGTTTTGTTTATTATTGGATCGCAAACAAGGGAGGCAACTACGAGACAGGTGAGCAATTCTTATTTCAATTCCTTTTTTTTCCTTTCTTTTAAACGGTGAACCAATCACATTTGAAATCTATAACTAGGTCTATATGTTCAGCTAGTTTCCTTTTTAAAACTGATTACTGTTGTTTAACTTTTTTCTATTTTGAGGTCGATACAAATCTAGATTAATTATATATATACAAATCTAGATTAATTATATATATTAGGCCTTGTTTTATACCTTCTTGTCCCCTTTTCGCACTTCACTTGCCTAACTTAATAAAAGTTCACTGAGGTTATTTTATTTATTGATATAGTTTCTATTTAGTAAGATGAAGATACATTCCTTTTTAATCAAAAATAAATAAATCATTTTGTTATCTTACAAACAGACCAAGAAAATGATTATTTTTAAATTTTAAAAATAAAAATTTAAATTTTCATAAACATAATATCAGATGTAGGGGCCACACTACCAGCCATATAATATATAATATTAATCTTATTACGCTAATGAAGTTGATAAGTTCGATCGCAATGTAATAGTTCATAAATAATGAATGGCTTTGTGTTAAAGTTCCTATTTTGTTTAATATTCCTTAGAGTTATGGGCAAAATAAAAGAATGTAGGCTACAAGGGAATATCGGATAACAAAATAAAAGAATGTAGGCTACAGTGGAACATCGGATAACAAAAATAAAAGAATGTAGACTACAGTGGAACATAGGATAACAAAATAAAAGAATGTAGGTTACAGTGGAAAAAACATGGTTCTGGCAGGTTCTTGGAAAGAAATTTGGCTCTCAGAAAAAAATTGATCGTCCTGCTGCTGATTTGTGACTACCGGTCATGAGTTTTCCAACCACTGGTCTAGCTAGGTCAGTGGTTCCCAAACGTTTACGTTTGGCGGACCGGTGAACAAGTTTCGAAATTTTACCAGGGACCGGGGCATGATTTATTTTTATATTTTTATTTCTATTTGACAATAAATATTTAGATCTATGTTATGTGGACAGGCAGCGTTAGGTACGGAACCTGGGTAAGGAAAAACATGCACTAATCTCAGGTAGACAGTGGCCAAGAGTGCCATAGTACTGAAAAATACTCATTTCGGGGCAGAAATTTATCATCCACATGGTAGATGCTGATGTCCGTAATTTTATAGTCAGTAACTGAAATAAAAATCATTGTTATTATAATAGCGGCAACGTATTCCATGGATCTTTGAGAAAGCGGGGTCGGTGGTGTGGAGAAAGACACAGTAAGCAATGCACTGAGTAGCTCTTGGTTCAATGATATTGACTAATGAAAATTTTCTATCCCAGTTTCCCTCGTCCAAACTCACTTTAAATCCAAACCAAACGCCGTTGAATGGCCACGTCTCGACAGTCTCAAGGCTTTTGTTTGCTTCATGCAGTCGGCGCACCTGATCAATGTGTCTACCTTGTAGCCATTCAAAGACCCGCGACACGCTTCGGTGAATGTATGCGCTTCATGTGCGTGGGTTGACGGGTTGATACTACGGTACACGCAGTTACCCTCTTTTAAAATTATGGAAAACCTAGCGTGGCAGGTAAACCAATGGGGCTGGCATGAATTGATAATACTGTCGAATATAAAATATACTAATTTGGAGAAACAAATCTTCGCTATTATTCATTGACTCTTAGCTACGTGTGCATTTCTTCTAGGTTACACTCATATCACCTTTAGAAGGGTTAATATATCCTTCAGAAAAAAAAATTGTTTAAGAGAAAGTTGTTCTAGGTTGATAGTTCTATACATCTTCACTATGTACATAAGTATTTGGATGTTAAATGAACGGATAGATTTGAATTAAATTTGTTATGTGACTTTGCAAGTTGTTGTTTCATGTGGTTGAGTCCTGCATTGTGACTGAGTGTGTTGGTAGATTTTACGGAGGTGATCTATATTTTAAACGCTCTATTTCTAGTCATCTCGGTGTTAAACAGAATTGTGTGAACTGAAAAATCAAACGTAAAACACTCAATGACGTAGCTGGGGTCGGGGCCACCAGGGGCGTGCCGACAACTTCGCCGCACCCATCCAAGAAAAAAATAAGTTGTATGTCAAAATCCCGCCCCTCTAATTAAAGAAGAAAGGGCCGCCCGGGACGAACTGCCCCCTCGGCACCCCCCCCCCACCCCCCGCCCCATGCCACTGATAAAACTTGCCTGGGAATTATAACTAATTAAACATGTTTTTTTTTTATTTTTCAGGGTTCCTTCATGTCATCAAAGTTAAAACTGAACTTTCAAATCAAACATGACACAAGTAGTTTCACCAATCTTCCCATATTAACAAAGATGACACAAGTAGTTTCACCAATCGTCTCATATCAACAAAGATGACACTATTATTTTCACCAATCTTCCCATATCCACAAAGATGACACAAGTAGTTTCACCATTTTCCCAATATCAACAAAGATGACACAAGTAGTTTCACCAATCTTCCCATATCAACAAACATGAACAAAAAAACTATCGAAAGTGACTAGTAAAAATGAATGAATTTCTCAAGGAATTTTACAGCTAAAGAAACGTCAAGTCAGGCCAGGCTGTTAGGAGTATCTGATGTCTATTATCACGCCACACATGGACGGCATATTTTTTACACTAAATCGGCCAACTTTATCGTCATCTGTTTTATCGATGTCTGAAAGGAGACTTCAAAAGTCTTCACAGATTATGTCTCGCGCCAGACTGGTCATCTATTTTCTGTGTATTCAAAGTGCGACTTCTGTGTATCTAAGATAAAATTACAATACGCGATCAAGACCAAATTATAGTGTTCTGAAAATGATTTCAGCCATTGGCGACAAAAATCGGAGGCCACGGTCAACAGATGGACAAAGTGTGAGGTTAAAGGTCGACGCCAAACCGACCACGAAGCTCCGGGAACGCGTCGAAGAGTTCCGTCTGTTGTCAAACAACGAGGCTCTCAGAGAAGTTGAGTACGACAAGCGGCGAGGGGAGTGGACGCGCCGGGGCGAGCTGCTTAAGCTGGACAAACCCTTGCAGAGGTGGAAGAAGTGTTACATCCCGTCTGTCCTGTCCGTCGTCGGCGGCGCGTTTCTACTGTTCGTCTGCAGCATCAAGGGCCTGTCCGGAGACTCCGTGTTCTTTCACCAAAAAATCGTGTTCCAGGTGATAGGCGGGGTTCTGGTCGGAGTGGGCGTGGTTTTGATCATGGTGACAGCCGCCTGCACGTATAAGAGAGAAGAGTTCATCGGAACGAAATCGGGATTCCCGAAACCCTATACCTCCACAAAGTCCTACAAACGATCGACTTCTCTTCCCACGGAGTTCATGAGAACCCAAAACGACGCAGACATAGAAGACATTATTACAAGAAAAACCAACGGCTGTCAAAACCTCCGCAGTCACACCTCCGCGGAATCCGGATATTTTGGATCTCCGGTGGAAAGTCTCGGAGAGAGCTTCTCATCGACACGGTCAGCGAGGCAGTGGATACACACCCACGGGCCGATGTTTCCGGCGGGTAGCGGGACCATTCGGCGTCAGTCTAGTGACACGGTGCTGGACAAGAGCTTCGCCAGGGCGCGTCTTCTCGCGTGGGAGGAGTTCTATAAGTCGGGAAGTCACGTGGTAGCCAGACGCACGCCGGAGTGGTCAGCTGGAATGTGTGTCCATGGTGCTTACTGTAATTCTGAATGTAAACCGCTGAAGCATGATGTTAAATGTGATAAGTTACATATACGCGAGGCACCAAAACTATACCCACAAGGTACGTGAGGTATGGTGCATCCCGTTGTAGTCAATATACAAAGCTGATGGATTAACTCAAAATCCTTACTGGTCTTTCCAAAACTTTGTAACAAAGGTCATATGTGTGGTAAACTTATAAGCAAATGAGCACCAGTTACAACTATTTAGAGTCAACTGACAATCCCAGGGGTCAACTGATAACCCAATGGTCAACTCATAACCCAGTGGTCAACTCACAACAGCAGTGGTCAACTCGTTACCCAGTGGTCAGCTCATAACCCAGTGGTCAACAAATAACCCAGTGGTCAACTCATAACCCAGTGGTAAACTCACAACAGCAGTGGTCAACTTGTTACCCAGTGATCAGCTCATAACTCAGTGGTCAATAAATAACCCAGTGGTCAACTCATAACTCAATGGTCAACTCACAACAGCAGTGATTCTTAAGGGATTAATTATCAACCCAGTAATCATTTCACAACCCCGTGGTCAACTCATAATGCAATTTTAATCTAACACCCAGATGTTCATGTTACAACCCACATCGGTCATCTAACAACCCACATCGGTCATCTAACAACCCACATCGGTCATCTAACAACCCATATCGGTCATCTAACAACCAACATCGGTCATCTTACAACCCACATCGGTCATCTAACGACACACAAAGGCTGCGTATCAAAATCAAATTAACTTGATTTAATTCATGTCAGTAGTAAAATATGCTGCATGAGTCAAATCCCAATCAGAGATCAAAATACGAGTATGTAAATCTCATCACAGATCTAAATTCTATAGCTAATCGATATTCCAAAAGAGAAATAGGTTATTGAATAGTAACTAATTTTTTACTCTCATACCAACTAATATCAGTTCAGATTGATTTACACTGCAAATTGTTACTGGTAGTTTAGAGCAGTACCGAAGTTTTATTGTTCTCAGAATTGCGTCAAAATCAAGGGGAAATAATGCATACTATTTAGTACAACTTCTGGCAATAGTTACAATTCCTGACTTATTCAACAGGAATAAATAAGAAAATGGCATATTGTATCTAGAAATCAGATCATTATTGTTTCGGCCACTTATTGTTATTCATGTTGCCACAGTTTTTGTAATCTTAAAGATAATTAAAATTATTTTATATTTTTTAAAAACAAAAATATATAGATTTAAAAAAAAAATAGTAAAGCCTTTAAAAGGTGACATCTTATACTCTTTAGGTGACTTGTCATACTCTCCTGTTATTACTAACTTAATACAGCTTTGGCTCCGAACATTTGTCCTGGCTTCTGTGAGTCGTGAATTGTAACCAGTAATTAATTTAACCACCTTAACAAAATATGAATATATAAAAAAAAATTATCTATAGTTTATCCAGCATCACCATAGTATATATTTCCACTCAATATCGCTTCACAGACCGAAGAGTTCACAGCATTAACACAAATAATGAACACCCCCCCCTCCCCTTCCCCACCCCCCGGCACTAAAACAACTTTAAATGTTGTTTCTTTTTTTAAATGTCCTAGTTTTCTTTTTCTATTTAAGAACGGTCAAATTTTTAGTTATTGTCTACTTTTTGATTTGTTTAATGGTGTCAAAGGTCAAAGGTAAAGCTCTTGACGGAATATGATGTGATTGAATTTATCAAACTGGGACAAGAAATCGTGTAAATTTAGTTTCAATGCCTGATTGCATTTATTCATTGGCCTTCGTTAATTATTCCTTAAGTCTTATATGTAAAACTAAATAACTGCCGGAGTTCTTGACATTCAATTTAAAAAGGATCCACCGTGCACTTGACTCTATCATATTCTTGAGGTGTGGTGATCGGTGGTATATCGCATTAAATTTGTTATAAAAAAACTTTTGGAATAAATAATTTAACGTACTTTTTAAAATATGGCTTAGTGTCTTATTCTGTAATAATAGTTTTTCTAAGTTATTTTATCATCATTTGTGAATCAATAGATCTTTTTATGAAACTAAACATTCGTAAGTGTTGTTGATTTTACCCTTTTATAAAACGAACAGTTGTCATTATGTTGATTTTACCCTTTTATAAAACTGACAGCTGTCATTATGTTGATTTTACCCTTTTATAAAACTGACAGCTGTCATTATGTTGATTTTACCCTTTTATAAAACTGACAGCTGTCATTATGTTGATTTTACCCTTTTATAAAACGAACAGTTGTCATTATGTTGATTTTACCCGTTTATAAAACGAACAGTTGTCATTATGTTGATTTTACCCTTTTATAAAACTGACAGTTGTCAGTGTTATTAATGTTACAATTTACAAAATTAATAGCTGTCAGTGTTTTTTTATATTACCCTTGACAGAACTCAAAGTTTTCAGGGCTGTTTATTGTTGTTTTTGTTGATTATGTTAATGCAGTGGATAAAAATGACGTATTGAACAAACATGGCAATGAAAATTTAACACAATATTATTCTATTACTGATCCAAATAAATGAACATGTATCTTGATTACAATGTACGTCAACATTTTCAGAACATAAGTAAAACCATAAATCATCCAATGTTTAAATCAGTTTAATAAGATGCACGAGCATAACATCAACTAAAATGTCGACCACGGGCGGACTGCGCCCGGCTCAAGCCATAAAAAATCCATAACACAGGAAGTCTGATGAAACAAACCTGAAGAAAGACGAAACAAAGCTTTTCCCCAAAGTTCCTTGTTTACTTTGAAACGATTTCCTGTACGACTCCCGGCAAATTAAGTTGTGTTGTGATTATTCTTCATTCTATGTTTGTGTACATGTGTGTGTTTTGTTGTGCTTTCTGGCTGTTGTTGTCGCCCTTGAAGAAGTTCAGCCCAAATGTCCAATGATTTGTTTCGCCTTACTTCATGGTTTCCTCAGGGCGTTAAGTAAAATGTTAAGCACATGTTGCACGATGCAATCATAATTGATTATATATCTGATGTATTCCATGATTGTGCGAAATTGATTCCATTGACTTCATAATAGGTTATGACAAACTAACAGAGAAGTTTGGACAAGAAATGCAAAGGGAACCAAACCGAAAGCCAAAGGTCAAGGGAATCATCATTTGGGGGTGGAGCTAGGATTCTAGGACGATCGTCCCCAGCCTGAACTGATAATTAAGCACTTGAGAAAGAGGCCAGGGAACTCTTTTGTATCATTTACACCAAAACAGGGTTGCCAACTAAAGAAACAAAAACAAAACAAAAAAACAACAACAAAACTAAAATTCACGGACAAATAAACTAATTTTTTTTTTTTTTTTTTTTTTTCCAAAAATAAAAAATTTTTTAAACAGGGTTGCCAACTAAAGAAACAAAAACAAAACAAAAAAACAACAACAAAACTAAAATTCACGGACAAATAAACTAATTTTTTTTTTTTTTTTTTTTTTTCCAGACATGCAAACTATTTTACGGACAAATGTTAAAACTTAACTTGCGAAACATAACATAAATTCGATGATCTTGAAGTCTAAGTCTAGGTTTAAGATTTTATGATTATGTATGTATCAGTCATTCTTGAGCCTATTTTTTTTTATAAAATTGGTTTGAGGAGCAGCATTAGTGTCTGTGTTAAATTTCTCCTGGTTATGATCCTTCACGTTTCAAGTCGGTAAGAAAAAAATTAAAATGAGATTTCCCGATTTTTCCGTTAAAAAAATTGCGTCCAATATTTCATTTTTACAGATGTCCTAAATCAGGCGTGTCATTCTGAGTGTCCCCCCGGAGGCCATATGGGTCACATTTGTGTTGTCACGAGGGCCACACACTACAACTAATTGAAGTCATTGAATAAAAATAACTATTTAATTGTATCAATTAAACATTGAAACGTATAATGTACATACACATGGTTTGTCCGCTAGCCACATTCGGGAATGCAAAGTAAAAGAAGAAATTTAAAAAAAAAGAATGAGAAGAAAACAACGAAATTTTAAACGCCATCAATAAACTTGTAATAAATACATTGTAGAAAAATTACAACAGTTCAAAAAGAAGATTTATTTACATTTATTCAATCATTTTTATAGTGTTTTGTTCTCAGGCTTGAAACCTCTTTTTGATGAGGTGTAGGGTATGTCTGGCTGGAAATGTCTGGCTGGAAATGTCTGGCTGGAAATGTCTGGCTGGAAATGTCTGGCTGGAAATGTCTGGCTGGAAATGTCTGGCTGGAAATGTCTGGCTGGAAATGTCTGCTGGGAATGTCTGGCTGGAAATGTCAAGGCTGGAAATGTCTGGCTGGAAATGTCTGGCTGGAAATGTCTGGCTGGAAATGTCTGCTGGGAATGTCTGGCTGGAAATTTCTGGCTGGAAATGTCTGCTGGAAATGTCTGCTGGAAATGTCTGCTGGGAATGTCTGCTGGGAAATCTGGCTGGAGATGTCTGCTGGAAATGTCTGCTGGGAATGTCTGGCTGGAAATGTCTGTTGGAAATGTCTGCTGAAAATGTCTGGCTGGAAATATCTGGCTGGAAATGTCTGGCTGGAAATGTCTGGCTGGAAATGTCTGGCTGGAAATATCTGCTGGAAATGTCTGCTGGAAATGTCTGGCTGGAAATGTCTGCTGGGAATGTCTGCTGGAAATGTCTGCTGGGAATTTCTGTCTGGAAATGTCTGCTGGGAATGTCTGGCTGGAAATGTGTGCTGGAAATGTCTGGCTGGGAATGTCTGGATTGAAATGCCTGGCTGCAACGTCTGGCTGGAAATGTCTATGACAGTATGAGACAGACATAGCCTAAGTTACGGCAGATTTTGAGAAAGATGATATCCACATAATACAACCAAATCCAGGTCAATTCCCAGCTACATACAGCTACGAGACAGAGGAAAGTAGAATGCTGGCGCTAATACTATCATTGTCCTCAATCATTATGCTGTTGCACATCTAGGCTCGAAGCACTTTGATGACGGCCAGGCATATGTAGCCCTGAGCAGAGCTTAATTTCTCGATGGTCATCAAACTGATGAGTTTGACTGAACCTAGCTATGAGGAACTCGGCCTTGCCATAATGATGAGTTGGACTGCATCAGTAAAGATGCGCTTGCTGAAATAAACCCCATGAGAAATTATTGTCAAACAACCAGTTATGTCAGTGATCATAATGTAAACATGTGTGGAATCAAACACATTGCTGGAAGAGAGGCATGCTGCGGAGATCATTCGAACGGCCGGCTGACAGGGGCTAGTGAGGATGGCCCGAAACCACACATTTTTCAAAACAGATGTATCAAATCAATTTTAAATATTCCTTCATTAAGTCTGCATCACTGAATCAAAATAAATCATGCAAATCATTGTTAAATCATTGTATATCAGTTACAGCTGGTAGAACAATCTGACGTTACTACTACTTAAATCATCTCAAGTCATTCTAAATCATTAAGATTCACTTTAAATCACAGCAAATCATTTCAAAATTTTCAGTCCACTTTATAGTATCCCTGGTACAATATAAACACTGTTAGGCTACAATTATAAATCAATTAAAGGTTCTTTCAAGACTAAAACGTATGAAATAAAAAAATTAAAATATTATTAAATTAAAAAATCAAAAAACAACATGTGTTTATTAAAATGCACAAAAAAGCACGAAATAATGTTGTGTCACATAAAAGGATTTTCTTACAATTACTCATGTTTACACAGATGAAAGCGTGGGCACATAAAAAAATGGAAGGAAATGTTACAAGAAAGAAATACACCGAATCTGCCCGCTAATCAATAACCTTTATTTGAATTCGAGTAAACTTCATTGTTCGTCTTTCGCATGCGAACAGGGTTTCTTTCAGCTATATCTCCGGGAGGGCACTGCCCCAGGTGAAAGCGAGTGCCCCCCGGAGCAAAAATATGTCCAACAATAAATCCACTGGCACTGCTGGCACTGCCCCCCCCCCACACCCTCCGAAAAATCTGAAGTGCATGCGAAGATGACCGAGGCAATTTCCGACTTGAGTATTAGCCTTGACTTGAGCTATACTTTGTTTAAATTGAAGGAGAGGTGCTCAGTTCGTCAGTCTCACCCTCTTGTCCTTGCCTATTTGATCCAATAACAAGACTTGGTCAAGACGACTGGAAATAGACCAGGATGCAGTAGAACTTCCACTGTGTAAATGTCGTAACACCTATGGGACTCCATGTCCTCGTTTAATTTCAGAATTTGCCCTCTCTTAGATGAGTTGCCATCCAAGGTTAACGAGTCACATCAACCCTTAGTAACAAAACTAACAGATATAAAACAATGAACAGAACAGACTCAGTGATGTTGTATGACTTTGTTCAGGCTGCTCTGTCATTGTTAGTTTGTGTGTGTTCAAATCTTTCATCTGGGGGGGGGAGGGGGGCGAGTGGTCTAGAATGTGTCAATCTCAAGTTCGTGTCCTGGAGTTCAATCCCCCCCAAAATCCCAGTCAAGCAAACCCATCACCAGCACCCCGGGTGGATGGGACTCGTTAACCTTGGATGGTAACTCATCTAAGTCAAGCAAACACATCACCAGCACCCCGGGTGGATGGGACTCGTTAACCTTGGATGGTAACTCATCTAAGTCAAGCAAACCCATCACCAGCACCCCGGGTGGATGGGACTCGTCAACCTTTGATGGTAACTCATCTAAGTCAAGCAAACACATCACCAGCACCCCGGGTGGATGGGACTCGTCAACCTTGGATGGTAACTCATCTAAGTCAAGCAAACACATCACCAGCACCCCGGGTGGATGGGACTCGTCAACCTTGGATGGTAACTCATCTAAGGGACGGAATCTCTGAATTGGAGTCCTGTAGGCGGATAATATTGGCACAATGAAACATTACGGCAACTCCTGCGACGCCACAAGTACCAAGTTGTATCATCCAAATGATGTTCCCTTGGTTATCCAGGGGCATGGTGAGAGGCAATTTGCGGTGTGGGAACCAGCTTATACTCCTAAAAAAGAATAATCCCAGGCTTGTGGATTTCGTCCTGCGAAGTCTACACCATGGTCATAATGTGACGGACACATGCCAGCAAAGTCTTGACCTGATTCCTGATCTCCCATAGAGCGGAATCAAGAACATTGATTTCATATTATAGGCGCCCACTCTTCTTTTAGTTAAATGACTGTAACAACTTTGAAAAGCCGGGGGGGGGGGGGGGGGGGGGAAGCACCAAATTTTATACTTTTTGTACATTTTTGGAAATTATTTTTCTTTTGTTTAAAAGTTTTAAAACATTTTCTTATTACTACTTAAAAGATGGACTGGTCTTGGCCCCCCCCCCGTCCCCCCGTCCCCCCCATTGATAGCACGGTGAATGGCGGAAAAGATGAATATTCTATTTTTATTTGTCAGTGGCAATATAAATGGATAATACTTTATATATAAATTTATATATTTAAATTACAACTCGAAAGGTCTCACTTTTGGGAAAAGAAACATCTGTCACTCTAAACCAAAACAAATAAGAAATAAAGTATACATTTTTATACTTCAATTTTGAGCAATTGTTTTGGAACCTTTATGGGCACACAGTTAGAATCTGTTCTGACCAAAGGGACAACTTTTATTTTATCAAATGAGGTCAATTTTAGAGGTGTGGGATCAGAAATACCCGGGCTCTGATTAACAAACAAGAACAGAACCTTCCCATGTGTAACAGCCCCAACGATTGGCTGAGATTTTCGCTCACTACTGAACACGTTTTCTTCTTTTGTAACACTTAATGAATTGTCACTTCCGGATGTCACTTGCAGTAGAAGACCTTCTTCTGCCAGCAAATATGTGTCATCTTTCATTATATTTGGATTATACATTATGGGAAAGTCAAACGGCTGTATTTGGCTAAAGTTAAGTTTAGCATTGGATATCCAGTCTTTGTCATCACATGACTCCCACGTGACTGTGTCGAGGTAAGTTATGTGTGACATAAAAACTGTTTTCTTTAACCGCTGTGTTGCTCCAAAGCCAATAGTTGTAGTGGCAACCCCATTGAATGTAAAAGTGTTACCAAAGCCAGATCTTGAATCAGACAAATGGACGGGCTGCCCGATCTCCGTCTCTGTTGTATGAGAAATAATTAATTTATCTTCAAACATTGCAAAACTGACGGCAGTACTTGGTGCATTGAAAACACAAACCCACACCAAGCTGTCGAGGTATTGTAAATTTAATCGGCAGATCTGAAACTGCGCAATGCAATAAATGTAATTGTTGGTGAACATGAAGGAATGGCTTCCGTCTGGCACTTCAATCAGACATTCCCATTGGCCAGTTGAATGGAATTCATATATACTGCCGACATCTTTCCCACCAACAGACTGACCAATCAGAATATAAAGTTGATTCTTGGACGAATACACGTTTTTCATTGACCCATCTCTAGGGAGACCATTGCGAGGGAGGGAATAAGTCTTTCTTGTGTCCAAAATGTAGGCCAGAATAGCTCTAAGAGATGATTGTAAATACACGACAACAGGAACATTGTCTTCAACAACTTGTAGACTATCAGATTGTTGGTCGTCTGAAGGTACATACAAAGCTGAACCAGAACTACTTTTGCTACTTGTGATCTCCCTGTCCAAATGTTTTTTGTCTTCACGTTCAGCGAAGGCTTGCCTCACAATTGTCCTGGCTTCTCTACATTCAATGATGTCGTCATTGTTTAATAATGTCAGGAGACAATCTTGGCTGACGTCATCCAGTTTGATCAGTTTCATGATTGCACCAAGGTTGTCTTTTCTTTGGCTTGAACTTTCAACTTTGTATGTCACCTCGTCAACTGTTTTAAAAATAACATCGATTGATTTTGTTGATAACTTTCCTTGAGTAGCATGTAACATACGTTGTGTATCGTTGAGTTGATTTGTTTTTGTTTTTTCCTGAAATGTTCCAGTACTATCCATTGATCTGGGTTTATAATACATCCAATTAAGAACAGACCTGACCAAGTCATCACGTGATTTCAGGACTAGGTCATCATGTCCTATAATCGACAGCAAACAATAATATGATAGATTTAAGAACTCCTCAGTTTTGCTTATCTTCTCAAAGTTTTTAGCCACAAAACTCTGTATTGATTTTATGATTTTATCAGAGGTTAGTTCAACTGCTATTTTGTAAATGATAAAAAAGTTATCTTCTGTGATGTTTCTAGAAATAAAATGTTCCAGTTTGTTGACCAAAAAGTCAATTTGTAGATTATGTGAGGCGTGCCATAGATCTAACATGTTGTCAGTGGTCACGGTGAGCTCCCCTTTGTATACAGAAATCAAAATATTATCAAATGTCTCTTGAGTTAATCCCTTAATAGTGACACTTATGACGTCATTGGAAGGTTCCATTGTTTGTGATTTCAAGAGAACTCTGAAAAACTCTGAGCAAGCACTCAAATGAAATCTGTGACAGTTAAATTGGAAGTCATCAATGATTATTTTAATGTCACTCAGCTCATTGTCGTCCCACAACTGACCTAGTTTCCGGACGATACAGCTGGCCAAGTTGTCGCCTGAAGCCATGTTATTTGTACTAGCTGTGATGTTCTTTGAAAAAGGAATCTCCTTTATTAAAACACGTCGGGTTCAACTAGAGTACCTAAGATAGAAGAACACGAAAAGATTCTGTTTATAAAAGTTACTGTTAGAATACTGAAGAAATTAATTATCTAAAATGTCTAAACATAATGTCTAAACTTAATATCTAAACTAAATATCTAAACTTAATATCTAAACTTAATGTCTAAACTTAATTCTAAACCTAAAACAAAAAAGTGATCACAAATTCAATAAAGTACACCTGTTACAATCCGCTCAACATTTATTAATAACAACAACAAAAAACAAAAACAAAAACACAACATGAAGGTTTCTCAAGATTTATGCTTCACTTTTTCCCTCCTACTCCTTGTTGCCAGAGAACTGGTAGCGCTTCTTCTTACACAGCTGATAAAAATTTGGCTTGAGTGAGGAAGGAATTGAGATCCTCAGTAAAGCTTACAGATGCTCATCAGTAAGTCTGCCCCTGAACTTTGACTTGTTAAAGTTCATAATGGAAAAGAGCTTTTCATACGGATAGGTACTCTCAAAAAAAAGAAATGATTCACTTGAACAACCTGGACATTTCAGGGAAGGTGGAGGGCAATGCTCTAATAAATTGTCCATGCTTGTCTGTTTTTCTAGTCACCTCCCTGAACTTCAAATTGCACTGAAAAGCAATCAGCTCCATTTGAAGCGCAAATTGGAGGGGGGGGGGGGCATCTTCCACAATAAAGGAGAAAGGGTCAGCACATATTTGAAAAGTGGCTCTGTGTGTTCTGAAATCTGCAAACATGTGATCAAATTCTTCCCGTAGCTTTGCAATGGCATCGGTATACTTACTACTAAATGGTGTACCCGAGTCCATGAGTACTTTGCATGTTAAGAAATAGTAGATATTTCTCTAAGAACCATAACACAAGTTTTGTGCAGAATGCCCTGACATTGTCACCGGCAATACTGACAAGCTACTCCTAGTATTATAACTTCTTTTAAGTACATTCAGCTACTGTGTAATTTCAACAAGAAAAGCCAAGCCCATGAGCCATTTGGGATCAGTTAGTACAGGAACAACCATCTCATTCTTCTCCATTAAGGTTTTAAATGCTAAACGTGTTCAAGCAGTAAGCGGGAACAGACAATATTTATAAATTATTGATGCGAAGGAAGATGCAATTGTAAGGAGAATAAATTTTTATTGATATTTTTATGGTTCACAAGGACTTTTTGACTAACGCTGTATTGAAAGTGACCAAGCTGACAGACTTGGAATTTCCCTCAGCCCTAAACACTAGCGGCAATTTTTATATGGATTCTTTGATACTGTGTCAGGTTGCTACGGTTTATACAATTATGGTTGCGTATTACCCACTGACTTTTTAAATTGTTCTCAAAACCACACTTCGTCATGTGTTGCCTCATAAAACGCTATAAAATAAAAAAATTAAGTCAGATTTTAAAACGAATTTTACAATTATAATCAACGTCCAAATCTATCCAAACATAGTAAAAATCAGAATTAGACTTGTCGGTGAGATTCGACTGAAACCGTCGCGGGGGGTAACATTATATATATGAGAATGGGGGAAACGCGCGGGAAGCATTAGCCCTAAATTTTTCTGTCACGTAGCGGGCCTCAAAATATCGTCTTGCGGGCCGCAAAAGGCCCGTGGGCCGCGAGTTTGAGACCCCTGGTCTAAACTTAATGTCTTAACTTAATGTCTAAACCTAAAGTCTAAGCTTAATATCACAAACTAATGTCTAAACTAAATGACTTTACAAGTAATCTCAAATCTTAAATAAAAATTATAAGCAAATACTAAATAAAAAAATTTGTGCAAAAAGAAAAATTTCACGGGAACCAATATTTATTCCTTGGCTCTACGATAAACATAGAATGGTGCAAAAATAAAGGATTTCCAGCAATNCCAAACCCACCCTTCCCCCTCTACAACCCCCCCCCCCCCCCCCCCCAAAGCCTGTTTAAATTTACCAAACCGTAGAACTCTCTGTACACACTGTGTTAACCTTCCTTTCCCCAACACAGGTAAGTCTTAGCAACATCGGCAGCCATGGCTAAAGCAATGCACTGTTGTCTGTCAACCGGCTCTCCCCACCCATCCACGGGGATAAAAATTGAACAGAAAATGACACGGATGATACAATTCTTTGATTGATATTTTTTAAAAAATAATGATTAAATATAAAGGTCACTTTGGACAAACTTTTAAATGACTTGAACAATAATGGATTTTTTAAAAGATTGTAACTGATTACATGCCCTGTCATTTCAGTCATTATTTATGTCTGCAGATCACGAACGCTCTACCGTTCTTACTGTTTGTCAAATATGTGTGGGTGATGTCAAATATTCGGGCCTATCTAAGGTCTTATTCGGCTGGCGACTGTTTAGTCCTTGGTCATACAACGGACTAGTTGATTCGACCAACACTGAAGCTTCATGGTACGCAAAGCGTTTATTTCTGACAGCGTTAAATATCCATCTGGTTCACAGTGAGTCGAGACATGAATCCATATCGATACCAATATTCTATTCAGCAAAACACCTCACAGTGAGTCGAGACATGAATCCATATCGATACCAATATTCTATTCAGCAAAACACCTCACAGTGAGTCGAGACATGAATCCATATCGATACCAATATTCTATTCAGCAAAACACCTCACAGTGAGTCGAGACATGAATCCATATCGATACCAATATTCTATTCAGCAAAACACCTCACAGTGAGTCGAGACATGAATCCATATCGATACCAATATTCTATTCAGCAAAACACCTCACAGTGAGTCGAGACATGAATCCATATCGATACCAATATTCTATTCAGCAAAACACCTCACAGTGAGTCGAGACATGAATCCATATCGATACCAATATTCTATTCAGCAAAACACCTCACAGTGAGTCGAGACATGAATCCATATCGATACCAATATTCTATTCAGCAAAACACCTCACAGTGAGTCGAGACATGAATCCATATCGATACCAATATTCTATTCAGCAAAACACCTCACAGTGAGTCGAGACATGAATCCATATCGATACCAATATTCTATTCAGCAAAACACCTCACAGTGAGTCGAGACATGAATCCATATCGATACCAATATTCTATTCAGCAAAACACCTCACAGTGAGTCGAGACATGAATCCATATCGATACCAATATTCTATTCAGCAAAACACCTCACAGTGAGTCGAGACATGAATCCATATCGATACCAATATTCTATTCAGCAAAACACCTCACAGTGAGTCGAGACATGAATCCATATCGATACCAATATTCTATTCAGCAAAACACCTCACAGTGAGTCGAGACATGAATCCATATCGATACCAATATTCTATTCAGCAAAACACCTCACAGTGAGTCGAGACATGAATCCATATCGATACCAATATTCTATTCAGCAAAACACCTCACAGTGAGTCGAGACATGAATCCATATCGATACCAATATTCTATTCAGCAAAACACCTCACAGTGAGTCGAGACATGAATCCATATCGATACCAATATTCTATTCAGCAAAACACCTCACAGTGAGTCGAGACATGAATCCATATCGATACCAATATTCTATTCAGCAAAACACCTCACAGTGAGTCGAGACATGAATCCATATCGATACCAATATTCTATTCAGCAAAACACCTCACAGTGAGTCGAGACATGAATCCATATCTATACCAATATTCTATTCAGCAAAACACCTCACAGCGAATCAATATAAAAAATTCACGTCTCGCTGTCGCTCGCCCTATCTCACATACTGCTCACAGTTCCTTAAGTTCGTCCCCCTAGAATAACAAGGTTCTATGTGACCTTTGGGTGAAACCGAGATATTCGCGTTTGAAAATTTGATGTTTGGTATGGATCAACTACAAACGTTTTTATAGAAGTTTTTTTTGGGTTGTTTTATGTTTATCTTATCAATACAAGGTGTGATCATTAAAATGAAGGTTCCAGGTATTGATTTTTGTGACAGTATGACTGGACGTCATGAGTTGTTTTTATTCATGAAAGTTTTTGAACGTAAATGCGTGAAAATCTGGAATGAGTGATCTTTTATGGAGAAGTATAAAAAGGTTGTAGAAGGTCAAAATAAAGTCAGTTGTTACACGAATCCTGAAGAGTGAGCATCATTCATTTCTATTACAATTTTGATCTTACATGAATTTTTGAAATTTTCGATAGAACTTTGTAATTCTGAAAATTATATTTCACTTTAGAATAACAAGGTTCTATTTATTTAACTCTATGATTTAAGCCAGCCGTACTCAACCTGTGGGTCGCGACCCCTTTGGGTGTCGAACGACCCTTTCTCAGGGGTCGCCTAAAGACATTGAAAAACAGATCTCCTCTACAGTTATGAAGTGGCAACTAAAATAATTTTGTCGCTCGGGGGGGGGGGGGTCGCCATAACACGAGGAACTGAATTAAAGGGTCGCGGCATTAGGAAGATTGAGAACCAATGATTTAAGCAGTTCCTTTCAAGAATAAATACATATTCATTAATTGGATCAAAAATACTAACAAGACAAAATCATTTAAAAATTATATTGAAAATAAAGACAGAAAATATTTCCTTGTACTTGTATACAGTTTCTTTGTATTCATTTATTGATACAAACGTAAACATTCATAGGACAATAGCAATCACATGGTTTACACACAAACTTGAAGTTTCTGCGTTATTTCCATTAAAAAAAAAAAACAGCTACCTTACTACAATAAGTTGCAGAATGATGTTATAGTATTGTTATGCTATAGTATTGCCTGTCTAACTAAATCAGGCATGTTGCAGAATGATGTTATAGTATTGTTATGCTATAGTATTGCCTGTCTAACTAAATCAGGCATGTTGCAGAATGATGTTATAGTATTGTTATGCTATAGTATTGCCTGTCTAACTAAATCAGGCATGTTGCAGAATGATGTTATAGTATTGTTATGCTATAGTATTGCCTGTCTAACTAAATCAGGCATGTTGCAGAATGATGTTATAGTATTGTTATGCTATAGTATTGCCTGTCTAACTAAATCAGGCATGTTGCAGAATGATGTTATAGTATTGTTATGCTATAGTATTGCCTGTCTAACTAAATCAGGCATGTTGCAGAATGATGTTATAGTATTGTTATGCTATAGTATTGCCTGTCTAACTAAATCAGGCATGTTGCAGAATGATGTTATAGTATTGTTATGCTATAGTATTGCCTGTCTAACTAAATCAGGCATGTTGCAGAATGATGTTATAGTATTGTTATGCCATAGCCATAGTATTGCCTGTCTAACTAAATCAGGCATGTTGCAGAATGATGTTATAGTATTGTTATGCCATAGTATTGCCTGTCTAACTAAATCAGGCATGTTGCAGAATGATGTTATAGTATTGTTATGCTATAGTATTGCCTGTCTAACTAAATCAGGCATGTTGCAGAATGATGTTATAGTATTGTTATGCTATAGTATTGCCTGTCTAACTAAATCAGGCATGTTGCAGAATGATGTTATAGTATTGTTATGCTATAGTATTGCCTGTCTAACTAAATCAGGCATGTTGCAGAATGATGTTATAGTATTGTTATGCTATAGTATTGCCTGTCTAACTAAATCAGGCATGTTGCAGAATGATGTTATAGTATTGTTATGCTATAGTATTGCCTGTCTAAGTAAATCAGGCATGTTGCAGAATGATGTTATAGTATTGTTATGCCATAGTATTGCCTGTCTAACTAAATCAGGCATGAACTTAAGCATGTCTCTAAAATCTGTTTTCTTAGCTTCAGGCAGTGTGTTAGATGACATTGTCATCTTTGGTTGAGGCAAACATACCTGGGGTGATTTCATTGTTTCACAACTTCTGGTGCTTCTAGGTTTTCTTATATTTAGGGCTAAATCTACAAGCAACCCATGGCTCATTTGTAAATTTGAATACACATACTTTGGTATATTTTACACTCTTGTATTGAAACTTATCAGTACGTGTTTTAAAATCTTTGAAGACTTTTGTCCTCATTGCTTCATCTGTATGATTGTATAAGGGGCAATAACTCATTTTTTACTCTCCAAAAAATTGACTTAGAACATTCTTATTCTAAGGAGACGAGTTGTCTCCCTTTGTATAAACCCACAATTCCATGCAGTGGTGACTTGAGAGTCGTTCACACTCGCTCACGTGCCCCATTTGTCACCAAATCAAAACACACGCAGTCTCTCTGGTTTCATGACCTTGACACTGTTACATCCAGATTGTAGCTCTGATGCTTAAATCTATTTATTAACAAAAGCAATTTCTAAAGCAGGAAGGATTGTTTATATTTAAATCCTTCATATCAAGTTGTTGGCTAGCGGTCAAAATATTTGGATGGCTAATTCACCCACTTCCCGCCAAACTATTGAGCTGAAACTTGGCAAAGAGACTCCGCCAAGCTCAACAAATCGTTTTTTCCTGGAGAAGATGAAAGAAAATTCGCGATAACTGCGCTAAGTGATACTACATGAGATTCTTAAACTATATCACAGGTCAGTTTGTTGCGTAATATTTACTTTTGCTTTTCTGAAATTTACACTCATTAAATTTGATAAAATAATGTAACAACCAGATAATTTTTGGGATAAAAATGTAAATGAGAAAACATGATTGTTGAGGTCAACTAATCGACCCCCCCCCCCGAGGCGTAGCGAGGGGAGGACTGGGGGGGACAGATGTCCCCGGGGGCCAGCTAGTTAGGGGCGCCAAAATGTGCTTTGATATTATTTTATTGATGAAAGTAATGGTTTTGAGAGTTGAAAAAAAGAAAAAGGGGGGGCTATAAAGTGGATCTTGTCCCCAGGCGACAAACACCCTCGCTACGCGTCTGTACCCCCCCCCCTTTTTTTTTTCTTTCACTTGTAAACAATTGTTTAAACAATTGTCAAACATTTCCACCTCCCCCCCCCCCAATGTTGTTGAAATAATTAATGGGCGACCCCAAATGATTTATACGGATACTATGTTTTAGGGGTTCTTTAATTAACCACCTCATTACAATTATTTTAGAGGTTATGTGTGTAGCATTGTATCACAATATAGCGTTTATGGTTCACATCATTAGAGCCACGAAGAACTAAAGACTTGTAGGTTTTTAAGGTTTTTAAATATTTTTTTTAAAAAATAGTCGCTATAGTAAAAAAAAAATACTTAGTAAATAGTCTTCTTAAAAGAAGGATTTATTCATTATTATTATTTTAAAAGTTTGAATATGCAACTTTACCTGTCAAATAAAAACCAAAACAATCCAACTATCTTCCCACCATATTATAAAAAAAAAAAAACTGATTTAATGAAAACACTGAGAAACATCAGATATTTTTTTTATGGAACCGTTATCAAACCATAACATTTACATATACCATGGTGAACTAATTTTGTTAATTTTCCAACTGTGCACTGAAGGCAATATGTCTCCACCAACCTTCGGAATACTAGTATTGTCCTTGCCCAGTGGACGGAAAACACGCATACTTTTCTTCAGTATGATTTATCACAAGGTTATTCTCTTGACCTGGATAGCTACGGTCGTTGGATCAGCCCGGCCACCGTGTTGTTTTCGTAGCGTACCGTTACTTGAATTAACAGCAAAAAGAAAAGAAAAAAAAAAGGTTCAACAGCTGTTGTAACGAGTTTGGGCAAAAACAAGATTTCCTTAGAATCAGACGGACGTTTAGTTAATGAATTTTCAAATTACTTGCAATTCGTTGAAGCTTTATGAAGGACGAATGACAACAGAAACATTTGTCTTATCTAAATTACTACGCTAGGCCGCCATGAGCACATCATGGACACGCTTATCAACACAGATAACACTGTGTAATGTAGAAGTTACGAGAACTTTGGCATTCTTTTCCCTACTAAAACACATCGTTATACATTAATAATTTAGATAGGTTTTCTGATCATAAGAAACTGCTACGCCGAAAACGCTTGACATCACATGCACGTTTCTTACTACCAGTACGTTTTTGTTAGTTTGTTTTTAGTAATTTGGAATAAAGCTCCGAAAGGCTGGTTCTTAGAAAACACATCTAAAAAAGAACAAAGCTAATTCCAAGTTATATTTTTATGGGGTTAAAATGAAACTAACTTAAACTGTAAAGGCGTCTCTTTAAACAATCTCAAAGGATCCTAAAATGTCAGCCACAGCTTTATGCCGAACGTGTTGCCACTTTACAACAAATATGTTGCTGCTTTACACCAAATGTGTCGCCGCTTTACACCAAATGTGTCGCTGCTTTACACCAAATGTGTTACAGCTTTACACTGAATGTGTCTCTGGACTTGAGCTCAGTATCTGACCACCTGTTGCACCCGCCCCTCTACGGATTTATGTCGTCATTTGCTACAGGAGCTTTCCAAAAAAGGGGTGAGGGGGAGGCGTACCGAGGTTATATCGCGATCAAAATGCGCACCCCATATCAAACTTGAGAAGCCTTCTTTTTAAAACATTAAGAAGCACTCTGTAGTACACTCGGGCAGCAGAGTAATCAGACTAGAGTGCTAGTGCAGCATTTTAGCTTATTCAATGCGGCTTAAATAACTCTGAAGCAATTTAAAATCTAAGTTGTAGCATTTCAAAAGGTGCGTCTCTCCCTTTCTTGAGCGGTGACCCTCAGTACGCCAGAATGATACGTTCAGGTGACCTTTTCAGAGGCGTCACTAGTGTTTGTGTCACCAGGTCTTGTTATGCTGTGGTTTCACCCCTCTATGGATTCTTCCACCCTCCTGGATTTCCCCAACCGGAACTGCACCGAGAAGTTCTTAACCAGATCATACAGAATCGCTTAATGAACTATTACGTACTGTTATCATTTTGAAGATTTAATCTGTATTAATTAAGATTTGGCTCCTGCTACAAGCAATGCGTAACAAAGGACTGAGAACAACAGTGTGCAAAGAAAAACGACACGAGAGCTTGTGTTACTAAATATATTTAATTTAATTATACAACTAAAATTTCAATAGAAATACAAATTCGAGTAGAAAAGCAAAATAATATACAGCAAGTGAAAAAGGTTCACTCCTCAACTAACAAACATTATATAGCGTCTCGCATATCAAAAATCTCTCTCTCTCTCTATTTGTCTCGCTCGGCCAATCTGCTAAGAAAGCAGGCAGCATTTTAATAGAAACCAAATTGGAAATCCTAGTATAGACATTCTATAAATTGTGTCACCTAATGGCATTCTTTACAATCAATGGTACACATTCGAATGTAAACACATGTTACCCAGCCAAGACGGGGCGGGCAAGGCAGGCGTGACACAGCACATTTACTCGTGACATCAAAATCAAGGCCGTCCTAAGAGGAGAAATGTTGGTCGCTAAAAGAATAACTCTACCTTAAAGTAAAAAATAGGCCAATGTATTTGCCATATTATAACAGTACTGTTTGTTAATTAAGTAAAAGAAAAAATAACAAAGAAAGTTTTCAGAGATTTAATCCTGAAAATCACATAATCAGATTCATCATGCTTCACCTTTAGACCCTTTCAAAATCGGAAGACCAGAAAGCAAGGGTAGATTGCTCACAGTGATCAGTTCTTTGTATTAGTTTCAGTTTTGTAAAACTTCTCTCACTTGAATCCACGAACACATTTTAAAAAATGTTAGAAAAAAATTTCGTTTCATTTAGGTTAATAGCTGATGCCTTCGCAGCATTATAGTTTAAATTTCACTTGAAGATAACTCATCATATGGTTTTTAACTTTTTGAAAAATTATATATTTTTTAAAAATTTTTTTACGAAGTTTTATATTTCTGTCACCTTTTTTAAGCTGGAGCCAAAGACATACCCAATTATGGTAAATACACCACTGCTAAAATCATAAGAATTTTTTCAGTTTTCTTTGCTTGAAAGAATGCCTAATCACAGAGGGGGAATAAGGGTACACCACCATACCTCCAGAGGACAACGGTTCAAAAGCAGACCTAGACTTAGATGGATGGATGAAAAAAAAGAAGATCTACTGCAGCTGGGAATGCAAGCATGGAAAAGAAAAACATCAGTGATGCCTGTGTCGAAGTGGGGAGGCAGGCCAAAGCCCTACACCCACTGTCTGATCAGGGCCCTGGGCACAACCACAGCTGAAGACACACTTATCTGATCAAAGTCATTAGGTTTAAACTGTTCATTTTAAGGTAGGCCCAGGGCGGAGACCCTTCAGTAGAAATACTGAACATATAAAACGAAGATAATTATTGTTATAAACTATAAACGAAGGAATGCTTGAAATAAACCTTCAAATATTGTTACTATTTTAATACTACATTATATCAAGGTAATTCACGTACAAGTTTTTTGTTTATCATATTCTGAAGTGAACACGCTAAATCATTGGACCCATTTCAGACGCCACATCTTTCGGCTGATCTCGTGGAGCGCTAGACGCTCTTTTCATACTCTCGTATTTAACTTAATTATTAATAGTGTATGAAACCGAGTTGAGCGAGCTCTCTCCAATTTGCCATTGCCCATTTGGTGTCACCCCACCCCATATGAGTCTGTTACCCGGTATGCGAAGTACTCCCCTAGTAACGCCACTGCTGAACCCTTTCTCTGGCTCGTTCATTGTTCCCTTGTCCTTTTTTAAAAATACGTTTATATCTAACTCTTTCCTGTTTATAGTCAATATACTTGAATGCGGTTTTCTTTTCTTTTTGTTTACGTCTTGCTCGTGACGCGTGTATGATATCTTGAGATAAATGTGATGTGTTTGACCCATTCTTGACATGATATCTTGAGATAAATGTGATGTGTTTGACCCATTCTTGACATGATATCTTGAGATAAATGTGATGTGTTTGATCAATTCTTGACATGATATCTTGAGATAAATGTGATGTGTTTGATCAATTCTTGACATGATATCTTGAGATAAATGTGATGTGTTTGACCCATTCTTGACATGATATTTTGAGATAAATGTGATGTGTTTGACCCATTCTTGACATGATATCTTGAGATAAATGTGATGTGTTTGATCAATTCTTGACATATCTTGAGATAAATGTGATGTGTTTGACCCATTCTTGACATGATATCTTGAGATAAATGTGATGTGTTTGATCAATTCTTGACATGATATCTTGAGATAAAATGTGATGTGTTTGACCCATTCTTCAGTTCAAGGAAACCATTTAATTTACAAATGTTATTTTAAAGTAATACAACTCATGCATCTAAAATAAATAACAAAATCATCATTTTTTTTTTTAAATTTCTCTGCTTTGAAAATTTTATTTCAGAGGGCTTTTTTCATGACATAAAAATGCACCGTTCTCTCTTGATATCAAATAGTTGGAATGTCAGAAAGCCCATCATCATACAATCCTTTAACTCCCCCGAGTATGACAAGCGGTGAGAAAGGAAAGCGCACATTTAGCTTTTTACATCTATTTAAAATTTACAAGCTGCAAGAAGACATACAAAATACTAATAATTGGGTCAATAGATTTGTCTAATAAGTTTATTCTCCATTTTTGTCTGAGTTTTTAAATATTTTTTTACTTATTTGAAATTTTTCATTTAACCACAAATAATGTAATTAATGTCATAGGATGAGAATAGAGATATTTACAAAGGTATTATATTAAACAAAAAAATAACTTGTGATTTATCTTAGATGTGTTTCTGCAGTATAAAATTCACCTAAGACAAAACATGGACTGGAAATGTCAAACTAATATAACTTACTTCAGAAAATGTACAAGTTAATATATAGAACCATTCATAAAACTTTTAAACGTACTTGAGCAAATATTTTTCTCTCAAATAGAGTGGAACCCCATAATAATGCCCAATGATACACCTTGAAATTGGTTATAATTTTTAGCGCGTCTGTACGTGGCCCCAGAAATTTCATTTCCTCATCCTCATGTCCCTTAGTCCTTGGACCGTTGTGGGCGCCACAGATGACATGTGAACCATCCTCCTCCATTCCTCTCTGTCTTCAGCACTACTCACTGCATCGCCCAGTGGTAGTCCTGTCCACTCTTTGATGTTATCCTCCCACCTTTTTCTTTGTCTTCCTCTTCTTCTCCCTCCTCTTGTGGTGCCTTGCAATATTTCTTTGGCAAGTCCTTGTTTCCTTGTTACGTGGCCGTACCATTGTAATTTGCGTCTTTTCACAGTCACCAGTAGGTCATCCTACTCCCCAATTAGAAAAGACGTGGGGGTGGGGGCCGAGCCTTAGCTAGAGGGTTTGGCGCCCGGGGACAATATTCGCGCCATTTCTCTTCTTTTCAACTCTCAAACCAATTATTTTCAACAAAAAAATGATATCAAAGCCCATTTTGGCGCCCCTAACTAGCTGGCGCCCGGGGAATCTACCATCCACCTTTCGCTACACCTCTAGGAGGGAGGGTTGTTCTTGCTTAGATAGTCTATTTGATCGAACACACATTTAAGAGAGTGTTTGAAACGTCAGATTTGACCGAGCTTCAATTGAAGGCTTTTGTTTTTGATTGTCTTACTGACTGAGTTTAATCATGTGTCTAAGAGGCACTTTTGTGACTTTTTACAAATCAAACCTTCAGTAAATTATAGAATTATTGATATAAAAAGAATTATCAATGTGAATGATATAATAACCTCCAAGATATATCAAGAGTTAATAAATTGCGACAGAAAACAAGTGAATAATAATAATGTACACATTCATATTTCACGAGTCAGCCAGCGTTTAGGGGCCTTTAAGGGCACACAGTTTGAATGTGCTCGTAACAAAGGGACAACTCTTATCTCATTAAACGAGGTCAGTTTTAAAGTGTCTGTTTGACCTGCACCTGCGCCTTGATTGATGAACACGTAGAGGATCTTCTCATAGCTAACAGCTCCAACGGGTCGCTCAGTGAATCGGTCAGTGTCATACACATTCTCCTCTGGTGTGACTTTCAATGACGTGTCACTGGGATGAGTCACGTGTAGAAGCTGTCCATCTTGTGTCAACAGGTACGTATGCTCTTTGATTTCACCCGAAGGCGACGTGAGGAATTCCTCTCCATCGAATGGCTGCACGTGAAATACTGGAATATCTTTTTCAGATGCCCATTCATCGTTATATCCTGACTCCCACGAATTTAGGTCAATGTAACACGTTACTGTCAAATCACGTTCCGTGGGCAACTGACCAGATTTAACACGTTTCATCATTACATTTTTGATATGGGGATGCCTGTCTACAGGTACTCTTTTTACATCTTGATACAGTAGCTTGTTTCGAGACATGACACACCGATTTGGATCAGATTTGTTAAGAATAACCCACACCAAACTGTCAAGGCATTCCATATTTAATCTCCAGACCCCATTTCGAAGCGAAAAACAATAAATGTACTTGTCATTGAAGCTGATGAAACAATCATAATCTGGTGCCTCAGTTAGATATTCCCACTGGTCATTTGGCTGTAACTTATAAATACTACGAACAGGTTTCCTATCAAATGACTGACCAATCAAAATGTAAAGATTATTCTTATGAGAATACACTTCATTCATTGATCCATCTTTAGGTAGACCATTACGAGGAACTGAATAAGTCTTTCTTGTCTCTAACGCGTAGGCCAGAATTGCATTCGACGATGTTTGTAAATACACGACAACAGGAACCGTGTCTTCGACAACTTTTGGAGTATCACATTGCTGGTCTACTGGTGAGTCATACAAGACTGAATCAGAGCTACTTATAGTACTTGGGACCTCTCTGACCAATGCTGTCTTGTCTCTCCGGTCAGCGAAGGCTTGCCTCACAATTGTCCTGACTGCTCTACATTCTATGATGTCGTCATTGTTTAATAATGTCAGGAGACAGTCTTGACTGACGTCATCCAGTTTGATTAGTTTCATAAGTGCGCCAAGGTTGTCTTTTCTTTGACTTGAACTTTCAACCTTGTACGTCATCTGGTCAACTGATTTAAAAATCACATCAATTCCGTTTCTTGTATGTTTCTCTTTGGTAGCATGCAACATCTGTGCTTTATCCACGAGTTTCTTTTCTTTCAAGGTTGCACCTTTACCTTCCTGAGATCTCCCAGTACTATCCATTGATCTGGGTTTATAATCAATCCAATAAAGAACAGACCTGACCAAGTCATCACGTGATTTCAGAACTAGGTCATCATGTCCTATAATTGACAGTAAACAATTATAAGACAGATTTAAGAACTCCCCAGTTTTCCTTATCTTCTCAAAGTTTTTAGCCATAAAACTCTGTATTGATTTTATGATTCTGTCAGAGGTTAGTTCAACTGCCATTTTATAAATGATAAAAAAGTTATCTTCTGTGATGTTTCTAGAAATAAAATTTTCCAGTTTGTTAACCAAAAAGTCAATTTGTAGATGATGTGAAGCGTGCCAGAGATCTAACATGTTGTCACTGGTGACGGTGAGCTCCCCTTTGTACACAGAAAGCAAAATAGCATTACATGTCTCGGGAGTTAACCCTTTAATATTGACAGTGATGATGTCACTAGTAGCTTTCATCGTCTGTGACTTCAACAGAACTCTAAAAAACTCTGAGCAAGCGCTCAGATGAAATCTGTGACAGTTAAATTGGAAGTCATCGATGATTATGTTAATGTCACTTAGCTCATCGTCCTCCCACAGCTGACCTAGTTTCCGGACGATACAACTGGCCAAGGTGTCGTCTGAAGCCATGTTATGGGAAGTAAGAAGTGGAGTTATCTTTTTTCCCTTCGTCTTTTATGAGAGTTCAACGGCTTTAATGGGAGGCCAGATGCTGAAAATATAAGAAAAAATCGTGTTAAAAATTTGGTATAATATTTGTAGAAATAAATGCCAGATTATTCAAATTGTCTCAAATAAATATGCGCCAATAATTAATTTCAAGAACAGTACGTTTATTGCATGACAATAAATTTGTTGTCAATCTTATATCATTAGTTTATTTGATACTTGTACAAAGGTAAATGTTCCATGCCTCGGCCCGTGCAAAAAAAAAAAAAGGGGAGGGGGAGGGGGGGGAGTACTCACCCCGAGTGCCAACATCGTGTGCGTGTGCGTGTGGGGGGGGGGTGATATCCTTTTTAGATAGACTTGATAGTGACTTAAACAATACAGTCACGTGCACTTCACAAAGACATGGGGCGTGACAATCGTACTTAGACAGTTCTTATGTTTACATGTTGTTATTAAAGTAAGTAGGTAACACGTATTTAACTTCAGAATTGTTTAAATTAATTAAGAAATAACTATTTTGTTCATAGGGAAGTGGTATTTTTTGGTTATCTGGACACGAAATAGGTTCAATAACTACTCAAGTCAGGGGTGGATAACCGACGTTCCGCATGCGGCCCGACAGATTGCTCTTCCATTGACGGTGAGCGCCATTACGACATACACGCCCCTATTTTGGTCTGATTTATAAAAATCAATTCAAGTTAGTCATTTCAAATTTTAAATAAAAGTTATTAAATTAATAATAATAATTGTTAAAGATCTATAGAACACGACCATGTTATTGGCACCAATATTTCCAGTAGCATTTTTTTTCTTTTTTTTTTTTTTTTACTCCCCTTTTTAGTCTAGAGTCTAAGACTGATGCGAAAATAAATGCACTCTTGAATTTTGAAGTTATAAAAACAAAAAAATCCCGGGGAAGGGCCTACTCCCTCCCCCAACCCTCACGTTCACTTGGGAGTCTTCAGCCAGGGTTCTAGAGTTCTTCTCCCACACCCCAAACCCGTCGGTCGGTGACAGTGGCCGACACCTTCTTATCTACAGAGTAGTTATAATAAAAGAGTATTATCCCAATTAAAAAATAAAAACAATTACTATTGTGTATTGCGGCAAGTGTAGACATGGGCTACTTTGGAGAGATAGCACCCTGACGCGTTAGGAATAAGTTCAGGGTTTCAGGTTAGGGTTAGGGACACATTTTAGGACATAAGTTCGCGGGTCGCGGCAAAGCAGGGTGGCGGCCACCGTGCTATCTCTCCAAATTTACCAAGATATGTTATAATCTGATAATGATATGTCAAGTGTCTTTACTTACCATTAGTCTCATTGGATGATGCATCAAGATGCTACACGAAATCGTACAAAGATGGATAAAATAAACTAACACGTCTTGTTTCCAGGAAAACTATTTTTAGCAATGGGGAAAAGCCGTCATTATGTTTTCAGTTGCCTATTTCATGATGGTTTTTTTTGTGAAGCAAACTTTTAAGTCTGTGGCTATAGACGTACTGTGAATGTATTTCACCGGCATCCAGACATTGTGGCTACATTGTAACCGATCACATCCGAATCTCCATTGTTTATCAAAGCATGGGCCTGGACCATGGGCGCCCGCAGGGGGGGGGGGCAAGGGGGGGGGTTGATTTGATAAAAAAAAATTAGACAAAAATAGACAAAATATTTATTATTTATTTATTTATTTATTTAGGCATTTTTATATAGCGCTTATCATAAAGCTCTAAGCGCTTTACAATTATTAAAACATGTAAACTAAGTAAATACAAATGATACACTAGGATAGTAACTACTATTCTATAGAAACAATGAAAATGGCTATAAAACGAGGA